AGATAGTGAAGTTGTTGTCACATCTCTCCCAACCATCTCGAGAATCGTTGAAACGATTGTCGTCTGCGTATCGATCTGCATCAGATCGATACACTACTCGTAACGGTTTACTGTACTATACAGCCGTTTCTGGTGACACACCACGTGTTGTCATTCCAGATGATATTGATCTGCGTTTGCGGATCATGTTCGAGTATCACGATGCTCCTATAGGAGGACATCGTGGCCGAGAGAAAACATATCTCACGGTAAGTCGAGACTTTTACTGGCCCCGCCAGTATCAGTTTGTGCGAAAGTATGTTCGCGCATGCGAAGTCTGCCAACGAGTGAAGTCAAGTCCTTCACTGCGTGCACCTTTACAGCCTCTACCGGTTCCGGCTGAGTGCTGGGAATCCATCTCAATGGATTTCGTCTTCGGGTTACCCAAAGACGCACGCGGGAATACGGGTATTCTCGTATTTGTTGACAGATTCAGCAAAATGGTACACCTTGTGGCTGTACCAGAGACAATCACGGCAAGTGGCTGTGCTTGTGTCTTTATTGACACCATCTTCCGACTTCATGGGTTGCCCCGTGAACTCGTATCAGACAGAGATCCACGATTCACTGCTGATTTCTGGCGTTCCGTGTTCAAATCACTCGGAACGCGCTTGAAGATGTCAACATCTGATCATCCAGAGTCAGATGGTCAGACGGAACGTGCCAATCGTGTCCTTGAAGAGATACTTCGAGTATACGTACACTCCTTTAAGAGTTGGAGTGAGTTTTTGCCGATGGTAGAGTTTGCCATCAACAACTCGGTGCATGCGTCCACGACACATACACCGTTTTACGTGAATGGCTTGCGCCATCCGCGTGTACCCACCTTACTAGAGTGTAACTCTGGTTTAAGGGGGGAGGGACTCGCGCGAGCAAAAACCGATTTGGTTCACGCTCATCACGCTCTGACGAAGAAGTCATTGCGTTTGATGCCGATATCGATAACATCGATATCGAAGAAGATGATGCCAGTGAGAGTGCGGAAGCCCTCACTGAAGACAATGATCCCAGTGAGAGTGCGGAAGCCCTCACTGAAGAAAAGGTTGTTGTCGCTGCAGTGCGCTCACAGCACACTGAAGCTAACGAGTCATCAGATGAGTTCATACTGGCTCGTGAAACGGTAGTCCGTTTTGTGCAAGACTCCATCGCCGAAGCGGTGGATAAGCAAAAGCAAAACGCTGACAAGAATGGAAGGGCAAACACTCTTTTATTTAATAAAGGTGACTTAGTCCTACTGTCTACGGTTAATCTACCAAAGCATGTAGTGACTAACTTGGGTAGCAGTAAACTACTACCCAAGTACATTGGCCCATTTCGTGTATTGCACCGCCTAGGCAATGCATACACGATCGAGTTACCACGTAAGATGCGAACGCATCCCACGTTTTACGTTGGTCGGCTTAAGCCGTACCATCAGTACGCTGCTTCTTCCGATGAAGAACGCCCTTGCGCTCAAGCATCTCGCAGAGAGCCTTGTGCTCCCGATGGTGGGCATCAACAAAGGGTCTGAAGAGCAGTTATCTCAGCCCGAGACCGATCAACAATCCCACGAGCTACCCTTAGCTCGTCACGAAGAGATGTCAGAGATCTCTCGTTCTCAAGCTGAGCAAAGGCAAACTCAGCTCGATGCTTCGAGGCAGTGTCCACCATCTGGAGACGCCTATTCTGCTCATGCTCGAGATCGTCGCGTAACCCTTGCGTTACGCGATCAAAGAAGCTCTCGGGAACACACCGATCCACATGATCGTGTGGAGAGCGTCTTTCCTCCTCCTCCACCTCCATTAGAGGACTCTCGCGGTGGCCAGCGCTATCTAGTTGAGCAGCTGTTGAACCACCGCGACGTGAACGGACGTCGGACGAGTTACCTCGTCCGGTGGCGCGGCTATCCCCCGTCCTGGGATTCTTGGGAGCCCCGCTCCCAATTGATGGTTGACGTACTGGGTCTGGTCGAGCAGTACGACGCGACACATCCTGTGCCGCAGAAGGACCGCCGGAGAAAGTCTTCCCGGCACGGTCGTAAAGGGATTTCAGGTTGTCAATCCCTTCGTACATCTCAGTAGAGACACGTACGCGCCACCACGGGCTGGTAAGGAGGTAAGCCTCCTTAGGTGCTCGTGCAGAGTTGTTCACACAACATGGGCACGAGTCTCCCCAAGAGAGGCAGGGTAATCCTTTCTCCCTTGACAGACGATGCAGCTTGTAGCGTGCACCTGTCGGGGTTCGCTTTTCAAACTTATCACGAGCTTTGATAAGTTTGTCGTTCCAAGCGTCACGACCTACATCCTCGAGATTATGGATGTAGGCGTTCCACGCCTGAAGTAGTGAGGGACCATCACGTTTGTGATTCCCACTGTACCATCGATGTCTGAAGAAAGCATCGATGAAGAACTCATGTTCAGCGCGATAGTCTTTCGCGCTGGGGTCAAGGTGATGAATCCTCGACGAATCGAACAATCGTGTTCGATAACGATCACTCGTCGTCGCCGACAAGTGATCCATGACAGATTTAGGAGGCATCCATGCCTTCTTTTCTGGAGCGAGACGCAACACATTGCGGTCCCGCTCTTCCTGCGACGTGCCGACAGAAGTACTGGCACCTCGCTGTGAAGTGGTGTCCATTGGAGAAACGACACCACTATTAGCGCCCGAGTCTCGCGACCTCGAGCGCCTTCGCTTCGGCGATGGTTCATCTGACTCATCAGATGAACCAAAGATGCTGCGACGCAAAGCATCGTCCATGCCACGCTTGGCAGGCGGCTTGGATTCAATTGCCGTCGATACGGATCCGTCATCCGTATCAGGAGAGTACGAGACACCGAGCTCGTACTCTGTGAAGACACGAGTGTCTTCATGACCAGCGCCTGCATCACCAGGTGATACAGGCTGAGTCGATTCAGCAACCGATGGGACATCAGTTGCTGTAGTTTCTGCTTCGGCGTCCGCACAGAGACGTGCAGACGCGCTCTCGGCGGCCTTGCTCGCGCATCGCATGGGCTTGTTTACCATGCGATGAGATGTTGGAAAGTGGACGCGGACCAACAAGTGCAAACCCCGTCCCAAATGATTTGGGACGAGTATCCATTTAGTCAATCAGTCACTAAAGTGACTGATGGTTAAGGGGGGTGATGTAACGGGGTGAATCGTTACATAACAATTTATAAGAAATTGTTAATAGAATATAACTATAAGAGTTATATTCTCAGAATATTGTCATAAGGACAATATTCTGTAGCACTTCCAAGTAGTTCCTAATTGGTTGATATAGGCCATTATATCAACCAACGAAGACGCGCCACGACAGACGCACGCAATGAGTGGTGAGCAGATAACTGATTTACACATTTGTATTTAGACATAGTTAGATGAAGATAAATAGTGATTTATTGCAGACATTAACTATTATAAATACAGTTCTACTTTTTACTCTAACCAAGTACTCGCTTCTTCTTACCGTCTTCCTCTGCACGTACGAGTGTACGTGAAGTTACGAGGCACCGCCTTATTCTGTTATCAGAATAAGTAGCTTGTACTGTCACCAGTACAAGCTTCAGGGTGCCCCGTTACAATGGTGACACATAAGGGAAGGACTTTCCCCTCCATTTTCCCAAATGCTTCCTCGAAATTCACCCCATACCAGATTACCCCAGCCACCCACATTAAGTTCAACACCTCAATTGGTACCAATCGCCAATCAGTCTGCCTAGCTACCAAAAGCATCATCTATGAGAATCAGGAACATCAGTTAGCAGCCACTTCAAGAAGTTACAGATGCGGTATGGATTATCCAGCAAAGAAACCGTAACCGTCCATCTTGCGTCAGAAAGACAAGAACATTGAAGCTTTATGCAGGCAGAATCGTCTCAGGCGGGTTTCCGTAAAAGGTTGCGCGACTGTGAACATCCTAAGGTACTGTACATGTCCACTTCTGCGTTGTCACATTTTGAACATGCGATCAACAAATTATATAAAAATCAACCGTGCAGATCGGCAAATGTTTTAAGGTTTGCTTCACGCAAGCCACAAAGAACCACGTTGTTACGACAGACGCTCTTATCGTTGGCAAGGCCCTTCAGTTTGCCTGGTCTTTGAGCCTCAACGATCGGGATAAGGCGGGCTTTGCCGCTTCCGACGGGTGGCTTTCACGGTCAAAGCAACGTCACGGCACTTATTCAAACCGGCTGTATGGGGATACGGAAAATGTAACGGGGAGCTCATTATTTGGGTTGCCACGAAACTTCGCGTACACTAGTACATACAGAGGAAGCTAATCTACTCAACAGCTGGGATGAGTAAAGGGTAAAAAGAGAAGTGTAATACAGATAATTAAGCTATCGATAAAACTTCAGTCTTTATTTAACTAAATAAAACTACATTGTTGTATGCTGACAACCTGCTCACCACTCATTACGCGCATCTAGCAGCGAATGGAGGTAATCTATGGTTGATATGTCTTTTATCAACCAATCTTTGAGCAGCGCAAGAATATTGAAGATAAAATTCCTTCAATATTGTCCGTCTCGGATAATATTGGTAGGGAATTGTCATGACAGACAATCTCCCTATTGACACTGTTTGGTGTCAGTATCATGTAACGGTCTAATCCGTTACATCACCTTCCTTAACCATCAATCACTTGCTGATTAAATAGAATTGATTGGGAAAGGGTGACCTCCGTTGGATCACTCTGTGAAAGGGAGCACTTGTTGGTCAAATCCCATTCATTTTCCAATCCAACGCATGGTTTCGAAACCCGTGCGAGTTGCTACTGCAGCAGCAAGAAAGGCGGCTGCACGCTTGCGTGCGGCCGCGGAAAGTGCCTCTTACACCTCAGCAGCAAGTGATTTGTCGCCTGTTCTTGTTAATTGTCCACGTGGTGAGTCACCACGGTCGACAGGTACATCCGCTGCGTCTGCAGCGGGTACTGCGAATCGTAATATAGATGAGTCTGAAATAGAGCTCATCTATTCTGGCGAGTCTGACGATGTATCCGACTCGAAGGCGGCGCTTCCCGCCTCGGGATCGTCCGAGGCGGACACTGCAAGAGCCAAGTAGACTGGCTCTGGGGAACGTGGCAGCATCACGTCCGAGATCTTCTGATCAAGCGGTTGCTCCGACGAATCCTCACCTCACGCAAGTCCACCCAATGATAGGACGCGTGGTGATGGTGGTGATGATGACGCACCTACGTGTCACCACGAGAGAAGCATCTCGAGGGATATCGATGCTAGTGATGTCAGTGCTCATGCTGACCCCACTCAAGAAACCATGGACCGTAATGTCCTGCACCATGCTCCTCAAGTGGAGTCTCTTGGATGCCGTCATCCAAAGAGTTGGACCGGTTGACCGGCATGAATACCGATCGGGATAGAAACCCGTTGTTCTATGTAGGAATATCTGTCCTCCTAATTCCAGCACGTAAAATATCCGTGCTGAGAAAGAGTTCTTCACCAATGCATTTTCAAACATCGGTGGTACAACGGCAGCCGTGGTCGAGACAGTAAGGTCTTGGTACAAGGATGGAACGACTTAATCCATTACATCGAGTGCATTGGCCGTGAGGCCTGGCTTGGTAGAATTGATACAGCTCGCATCAGGTTTGAGAAGCGTAACTCAGTCAGTGTACTGTACAAGTTGCACCGACTGTCAGGAGAGGCAAGTTTAACCTGTCTCTCGTGGGGTGATTCGTGTCCAGGTTGCCTGGACAACTCGAACCGTGTCTTAAGAGAGACCTCCCTCCCTAGTATTCCCTACTGGATGGCGTGCATTTCTCGTCTGAGATGGCCGAAGGGATCGACACTTTGCAATCCTGTACTCGCGTTCGGGGAGGTCGTTTTACGACGGTCCTTCCTCGAATGCAGCGGGTGGGTCTCGTCATTTTGCTCGACGAGACCCGGAACATCAACTATCAGCTGAGCGCGAGGCTCCCTGCTGTCCCCGGACGGTGGATAGTTACGTCAGAGGACGAGGTAACTCATCCGGACGCCATTCACGTCGCGATGGTTCAAGATACGCTCCACCAGAAAGCGGTGACCACCGCCAGAATTCACTAATCGATGTGGTGGTGGCGGAAACACCTGATCCAGCTCGAGGTTCGGATCAGCTTGATGTTCAGAAACTAATCCGTGTAACGGAACAGTTACAAGGCGACCTGGTCCATGAATGCATTCGGCGTTACGATCTCCATGATCTTGTAAAGGATACTTACCATTCCTTAGCGCGCGATCGTTCGAACAATTGTGCCGCGTTTGTGCTTGCGCAACTTCAGAAAGAACGTTCGATTCATTCTCTTCGTGAAGAGCTAACTGCACCTCATCAGGACATCGCTGAACTGCGTGAGCAGGTCACTTCGCTAGTCGACCAGACTGGCTCGTTGAAACGAGACCACTCGAAGGTGGTCTCGGATATCGACCGCGGAGGTGTTCTTCGCATCTCGAAACGGGCTCGTACTGATAGCATGGGCGGAGACGTCCAAAGTAAGACTTAGGATGCGTACGCATCTTACGGGGCACTTCAATTGTGTAATGCGTTGCCCATACGGCGCAACAAGAAATGGACCGATATACTTGGGCAGTAACTTACTGCTGCCCACGTTTGTCACTGCGTGTTTTGGTAGAATTACTGTAGACAGTAAACTAGGTTTCCTACATCAAATGAAAGAACATTTGCTCTTCCATGTTTGTCTGTGTTTCTTTTCTGTCTGTCTAATGCATCTGCAATAGAGTCTTGAACGAAGCAGACAACCGCTTCGCGAGTCAGCAGAAATTCCTTTGATGACTCATCCTTGTTAACAGCAGTGCTCTTCGTGTGCACTGCTGAAAGAACGTTGTCTTCACCAGTGAGGGCGTCACCGTCCTCACTATAGCAGTCATTGGCGATGCTGAATATACCAGCATCGTCGTCTTCATCATCATCGATGTCGATCGCATCGAAATCGGCATCCATCACGTCGACACCATTGCTGACGTGTGATGAGCAAGAGCCAGATATGGTTTTGCTCGAGCGATTCCACACACACACCCCGTCTAACTAAATCTTAACTCTAAGAAGGTGGGTAATCGAGGATGGCGTAGGCCATTCACGAAAAGCGGTGTATGCGTTGTCGACGCTTGCACCGAGTTTTTGATGGTGAATTCCGACATCGACAAGAACTCACTCCAACTCGCAAACGAGTTGACGTACCCTCTAAGTATTTCTTCGAGGACGCAATTGACGCGTTCCGTCCGACCATCTGTTTCTGAATGGTCAGAAGTTGACATCTTCAAACGTTTTCCAATCGAAAGGGCCACGGATTGCCAGAACTCCGCTGTAAAGCGGGGGTTCCTATCAGACAATAGTTCACAGGGTAACCCTTGAAGTCGGAAGATAGTGTCGATGAAGACACGGGCACAGCCTGGGCTGTGATTGACTCCATTACAGTAACAAGATGTATTATCTTGATGAACCTATTAACGAACACAAGAATACTGGTATTCTTGTGAACGTCTTTGGGAAACCCAAAGACGAAGTCTATCGATACGGACTGCCAGCACTCTGTTGTAATCGGCAGAGGCTGCAAGGGTGCACGGGATGTAGCATTAGGCTTCACCCGTTGGCAAAATTTGCAAGCGCGAATGTATTTGCGCACAAACTCATACTGGCGGGGCCAGTAGAAGTCACGACTTACTGTGGGGTCAGTCTTTTCTCTACCGCGATGCCCACTTGTTGGGGGCATCGTGACACTCATACAGGATGCGCAATCGCAAATCATCTTGAGCGGGAACGAAGACACGAGGTGTGTCGCCGTTGACTACTGCATAGTACAGCATTCCATCACGAACAGAATACCGTTCAGTTGAAGAGCGGTATTGAGACGTCAAACTTTTTAAAGCTTGACCGCATAAAGCAGACGCGAAATCTATAATTCGCAGAAAAGAATCATCTTCTGCGTATGCTTTTCGCACATCGTCGAGCGGATTCGACGACGGAAGACTCAATGATAGTGTTGCAACAGTGGGACCACCCTCACTGTTGGGTGGAGTAGTCGGCTCCAAATCTGGCCGACGCGAAAGAATATCAACGACGACATTAAGCCGTCCTGGTTTATACTCGACGGAGAAGTTGTACTCCGCGAAGATAGACAGCCACCTCACCATTCGTCGCGAGAGGTGTAAACTGTTTACGGCCGTGCGTGATGACGCATGGTCGGTACAAACGATGATGGTCTATCTCCTAAGAGAAATACCCGAAACTAAGCCAGTGCATTTTTCATGGCAAGGAGCTCCTTGTAATGCACCGGGTAATATAACTTTGCTGCTTGCAGCTGACGCGATTGATATCGTACGACGCGCCCAACGCTGTCTGAGTCGTACTGCATTAACGCGCAGCCGATTGCAAAATGGCTGGCGTCATTTTACAGACCACATGGAATGGTCTTTACTGGTCTGCAGTCGCCAACACAGGCGGTTGCTCCAAGCTTTTCTTGATACTTTCGAAGGAGTGCTGACACTCAGCACTCCATGATCACCTCTGTTTTCTTTAACAGACGAGAGAGATGTACGGTCATCTCGGCGTACTTGCGCGAGTTCTTGTGCAAGTACGCCACTAATCCAATGAACTTTCGAAGTCCCTTGAAGTTGACTGGCACAAGACAGTCACTAATCGCCTTGATCTTTTCTGGATCAGAGCGTACACCGTGTTTACCGACGATACAGCCAAGAAGAGGTATTTCGCTTGCTGCGAATATACACTTCTTGAGGCTCGCAAACAACTTACGCTCTCGCATAAGTGTAAGAACCTCCCGGACGTGGATTCGATGAACCTCCACGTCCGTCTTTCCATCCATGGCCCGGCCACGGACGAAGACATCGTCGATGTAACTCGGTGCAAAATCTCGCACCGATCGCAACAGATTCGTAACACATCTTATAAACGTTGCATAGGCGTTACATAGCTCCTGTAGCATCACTAGCCACTCCCAGAGCATACCACTGGGGTGCTCACTGATGTGTAAAGGGGTATCTCGTTCGCGCATGAGGATCTGATAGAATCCATACATCAGATCCATGGACGAAAAGATGGCGTTTTTTGCCATACCATCAATGATGACTTCCTTCCTTGGTATCGGCGTTTGAGCCGGTACCGTTGCAGCGTTTAATTTGTTGAACGCGTGCACTACCCGCCACCCTCCTATGGTTTTTCAAACACAGAAGTTCAAAGAGCTGTGTGGGGATGTTGATTCCCTCACATGACCAGCCGCTAAACGATCGGCAAAGAATTTGTCGAACGCTGTGACCTGTTCACGAGGCAGTAGCCACTGCTTCATGACACAGTACTTCGAATCGAATTTTAGTTCGATCTCATGCCGAGTGCCTTTGTCCTTAGGCAGCTCGCATGGCACGCATTCAGGGAAAGCATCCCTGAATTCCACCACATTCTTATACAAAGGATTTGTCTTCAAAGACTCCCAAGATTGAGACGTGTACCGCTCAATCCGGGTATTCTCATCGAGGACACTCTCGTCCATCGATGAGCTACTGAAAACCCGTTCGTTCTCAGTAAGAACTTGTGCCGACCTAACATCGGTGACGTACTCGTCCTCTGTGACGAATACGCAGATCAGCTTGATCTTGTCACTACGCAGATCTCGCAAGAACCTTTTAGATTCTAGCGTTGGCAACTTGATTACCTTCAAATCTGAATTCGGAGGTGTAACCAGATCAAGTGTGTAAGCGCCTACACTTGATCCGTCATTCACCAAGACATTCACTGTCGCGGTAATTTCCTGGGAAAACACATCTGCAGTTGATTGGGAATCCACACCCTCGACGTAACTCTTTCGGGAGTTATCACTCTCAGGAACGCTGGAACCTCCTTCCAATATGTGTACTGACTGTGGGTGCACTCCACAGTCATGCCCTCTTCGATCGATTCTATTTCATTCGATCGTGTTTGCGCTACGATCGACTCTATTTATCGATCTCGCTTAAGCATGTTGTTCATCCTGAACGACATTAAATTCTCTTCTTGGATGCACTGTGTGTGTTCATGGTGTGCATCCGTGTTTCAGTCCACTCGACCTCTTCAAGTGGTGAACCCTCGGTGCAGCCTGTGTCTCTACACAGGTGCCGGAAGCTGGTTCCACAGTGTAGTGGCCTCCTACACTGTGATCTTATGCAGTCATACTAACGACCGTACCACAAGTGAGGTCATCGCCCTCACTCGTAGTACATCCACACGCTTGTGAAAGCTCCAAGACGTTCATCAGATGGCCATCTGATGAACAAACGGCAGGAATCTTCACGGATCGATGCTGCCAGCTGATCCATGGCTAGTACCTTCTAAGTCATGGCAGACCGAGGATGAAATCAAATTTGACATCCAAATCCAGTAGGATAAAGTCATCATCGTACTGCTTTCCTTCTAGCGTGTAGTGGATTCCCACTAGACGTTCGTTCACTGTTATGGATGCGCCTGTAGCAAGGCACACCTTCATCCTCGTTAGAGGGAACTCTCGCTCAGCATAGTTAAGCCTACTGTCCTCTATCGACTGGTGTCGAATGAAACTGTTCGACGCCCCACAGTCAACTATGGCAAGAAGTGACATTCCACTTGTCACTTCGATCTTCAAAGTGATGAGTGAAACCTCATCACTAAGGGCAGTAACACACAGAGACTGTGTGCTGGGAGCAACTGCAAAATCTCTTGACGTTGCTGGATCAGAAGGGTGCTCCGCCCCTACTGACCCTGACCGTTTTTGACGATCCGACTTTCTGTCGCGGCTTAGCGACATGGTCGGACCCACGCCTCGGACCCTTCCTTGGCCAAAGGCGGTCATCTCGTCCTGTTATTGGACTTGATGTGGGGCTTGGGACACTATAATCATGAGCGTAGTGTCCAATCTTCTGACAGCGATGGCATCTTGCCGTTCTCTTGTGAATCAGAGAGCGAGAGTTCTCGCTCTCGATGCAACAGAGATCCGTAGGTTCGGGACCTTCTGTTTCCTGTTGTTTCGTCGGACGATTGATTGAAGAGTTAGCCTGAGACTTTCTCAGGCTGAAGTATTCTTGTTCCGCATACGCTATCGCATTTTCCAGTGCATGAAAGTCCTCTCTGAACATGTAGGTCTTCACCGGTCCATCTACAAGGCCGTAGATGAACACGTTGATGAGCGTGTGCTCATCAACAGGTTTTCCGTGACGCTACTCGCAAGGTAACGGAGGTGTTGTGCGTAAGCGTGCACATAACGCTTACTTTGTTTGGGCCTCAGGAGTGCAGAGCGTGCTCTGGACTCGGCTCGTGGTGGCTCAAACGTTTCTTTGAGTCAAGACTCTAAGATCCTAACGACTCAAACACGTTTGGGTCGTAGAGCTTGAGACCTAAGGCCCAAGTCTTTGCTCGTCCTGTCAAATTTGACAGGGCGAAGGTGACTTGCATCTCGTCATCCTCGATGCGACGGGCCCTGATGGCGTCGTATAACTCGACGAACCATCTCAAAATAAAATCTTCATTTGTTTCCTTGTACATTGAGATATCTATCTTCAAGTTTTCGGGTCGACGCGTGTGCGTCGGCCCACCCATCGACTGATGAGAGCCTTGATGATGTAGTAAGGCTATCTTCTGTCGTTCGACGGCAAGTTCCCCTTTGTAGGAACTTGTTGATAGCATCATGTTGCTCGTCTCTGTTTTGAGACTCCAACATTCCACTGATGGCGGGTTCGCCCATGAGCACACTCATGCAGCCGACTATCTCCCATTCTGAGTCCCTCAGATTGGAGTAGCCTTCACGTGTGACGTGAAAGCTGCTGTCTTCTACGTCCGACATGTTCATGTTGAACGGGCACTAAGGAGTCGTCGGACGGACTACGAAGTGCTACCAGGTGAAACGGGTACCCTTTGTTTGGGCGCCACGAAACTTCACGTACACTAGTACGTGCAGAGGAAGCTTGTCTACTCAACGACTAAGCTGAGTAAAGGGTAAAAAGAGAACTGCATTAAATATAGTTAAGCTATCAATCTAACTTTAACCTTTATCTAACAATTTTAAACTACGTCTTCGTAAGACGACAACCTGCTCACCACTCATTGCGCGCGTCTAGCAGCGATTGGTGGTAATCCTGGTTGATATGTCTTTCATCAACCAATCTTTGAGCAGCGCATGAATACTATCCTACAAGGGAATAAAATTCCTTCAATATTATCCATCTTGGATATCATTGGCAGGGAGTTGTCACGCTAGCCAATCTCCCTATTGACAAGTTTGGTGTTGATATCATGTAAAAGGATTATTAGTTACACTCATGCTTAATAATCGCCTCAGCATAACGCTGGCTTTCCTTAAAAGGAACGATGCCGGGCATAATTGCAAGGCGGGCCAGAGTCGATCAAAATCGACCAAGGCCTTGCAAAGTTCTATCTTTTTGCCTCGGCGACGAAAAATCCAGACTTGTATCCACGCTCTATACCAATAGATACGGAGCTCGTTGGGGCTAAGCTCTATTTTACTTTACCTCCTGAATGTGTAACAGAGCCCAGTTCTTCCCCAGTAGGACGCCCCGCGTCTACTGGGCGTCGTGCCCTGTGCCATGCCAGACTTCTGGTTCGGAGTTAAACGTTGGCTTGTAACCTGACGCTGTTCACGCAAAGGCAACCAAATCGAAGGTTTTTAGTGCTTGCGCACGTAAAACATTGTCGTACGACGCGTTGCTGCTAAGCAGCTTGAAGTTTAGCTTCATCTTCATACTTAGCATAGCTGAGATCTATCTGTTCCGGCCGATTAAAGACCGGACCACTCATGGAGTTTGCTCTCGCAGAGCAAGAGTTGCACCCTACCAGCTAGGCCTGGCCGCCTTGAAGCTATGCTCAGCATTAAGAGCGATTCTCACAGCATCTTCGAAAGTAGAGGAGTGAACCCAAAAAATTTCGGTTCCGGTAATGCCAGTACAAACACCTTCCATGAAGATAGTCACATGAACTGCCTCAAGCAGAAAGTCAGACTGCAGTGAAGCCATGAGAGTCCTCAACGCTTGGACATAGTCTGATAAATCATTCTTGCCCTGACAAGTAGATCAGAAGAGTTAGCACACGCGGTTTATTGGTTAGGCAGTGAGAATACCTGTGCCAATTGTGACGTTGGCGGCTTCCGTGTGGGAAATTCTAAGTCAACCGACGTGCTACACATTAAAGCCCATTCTCTAGCTCTTCCATCGAGCTTTGAAATAGCGAGCCAGACCTGTTGATGGTCAAGCTTGATTAGGCCTGACATCGGGTCCATCTCAATCTCACGGATTTTGAGGATGAGGTTCTCACCCTCCTTACCGGAGTAATTCTTAGCTTCCACTCTAAGTGGACGAGGCATAATTCTCTGTTTGGTTTATACACATAGCGTGTAGGCATAGCCGAGGCTACTTGGTCTTTGATCAGCCCCAGAAGAGTCGCTTCATACTGCATGAAGCCTTCAACACGTGCATTTAACACCTTAAAGTTCTTGTGAAACAAGGAACTCCACGTACTCTAGACCCAAAGATGCGGTCAGCTTATCAAGCGCGACATTTTGAGACTCAGAGAGGAGAGTTCAGTTCTCCGTTCTCACGAAGGATAAGTCTTATAGACTCAGGCGTAGATTGAATACGAGTGCTACCAAGTGTAGCGGAGCTAAACAGCTCCTTAAGTCAGAGGAAGACATAACGCTCAACGATCAAGTTACTGCTAGGGAACTAGACTCAATGAGTCAACAAGCGTAAAGCTTGTGGTCTTTGTTCCAGGAGACCAAACGATTCAATGAATTGACAGCACTTAGTGCTCAAGAATAACTAGCTACCTCAGAGAGGTGTTGCTAACTCTTAG